TGCCCTGTCCCAGCCCCAGGTTTGGTCGCTGGGAGGCCTAGGCGAAGTGCACTGGGTGAAATCTGGCTCAAGTCAGTAAACAGAAAGACAAACAGATGAAACCAAAAGTGCCCCTGCTCCTCCCCTCCTCCTCTGTAAATAATAGTTAGGCTTATAATTATAGAGGCACCCCCCCCCCCCCACAGCCTGGCCGGGCGCGGAGGAATGGCGTCCACGACCCAGCCTCAGATTGTCCCCAAAGAGGGCGACTCATTTTTCTCCGGGCTTTGAAACTGATTTAAGTGGCCCTTTAAAGCTGATCTTGTCAGTTTAGCCCATTGAAGGGCAGCCATGCAAACTGTGATCTCTCTGTTCATTTGAGCTGTTTCTTTCCCCCCTTTCTTCTCTCTCCCCTTTTCTCTTACCCCCCTTTCGGGTTTTTTTTTTTTAACAACTCAGGTCCCTCCAGAGAGACCACCCCCCTCCTTCCCCGTTATCTTCAGGAAAACACTTTTCTTTTTCTGATACGTAAAAAAAATACAACAAGTGCCTTTGAAATGAGAGGCTGCTCGGTGGAGGCGGTGCAGCCTGTGACCTGACCTCAGGGGGCTCCCCAGACAAGGCTGGGGCTGACACGCACACACTGTGCATCTTAAAGCGGGGCTTGGAAATCAGCCCCTTCCATCCCAGGCCCAGAACACACATGCAATGTACTCCTGTGTGTCTCCGGGACTCTGCCTGCCTCCGCCCGGGGTAGGTGCCATGGTCAGGCATGAAAAGATCTGTTTGCAGAAGGCTCTTCCCTGAGCATCCGCACCTGTGGTCTCCCTGAGACTCAGATAACAGGGACCTTTATCTCTCGGTGGGGTGATGTGCGTTCCCCACACAGGCCTGGGCCTTTTGCAAATAGTAATAAATTAAACTGTTAAGACAGTATCAGGCATTTTTCTCCTTGAAAGACCCAGGGGGAAGGCTGAGACTAACAATGATGGCCAGCGATTCACAGCCACCCGCGCGGGCTGGGAATGTGGTTGGGTGTGGGGTCCGGGGGCTGGCTGAAGGAGGCTGCGGGGCAGGGGGCCATCCTGCTGGTAGGTTTGCATCAGGCAAACGGTCCCGTCCTGACAGGTCCTCCCCGAGGGAGAAGACTCCAGATTCGAGCCTCTGACACAGCCATCCCTTGCCTGGACACTGCCCTTTAATTGATCACCTAAGGACTTTTGAAGGCAGTGGGGGCGTTTTATGAAAACAGCAGCGATATAGGAAAGACTCAGAACCTGCCATAGATTGGGTCCCCAGCTTTCCTTGCCACAATGAGGAAGGGGCTGCGTCTTTTTGTCCGCCACGCCAGCCACAAAGCTCTCTCCTGTCCCGATTGGAGCTGAACACCCCAAACCCACGTCCAAGTGGTGGGTGTGCTCCATGGGGAACCCCTTCCCCGCCTCGGCCTTGACAAAGGGATCAGCTGACAACTTAAGCCCAAGAAGGTGGAGGAGCCAGAAGGCTCAGGTGTGGCCCACAGTGCAAAGCCAGGCACTTGCAAAAATCATTTGGCCTCAAGAGTTCATTAATATGAGATCTATTGCTCACACAGGTTAAACTACATGCAAACTAATTAGATTTCATCATGCACTCGGTGATGGTTTTCTATCGCCAGCAACCTTCAGACGCTGGCAGCCCAGGCTGGCAGACACTTGGAGTTGTTTGGAAATTGCCTCAAGTGTTTGCCTGGCCAGGGCGGGAGCAAGAGGCCGGACTCCCCAGGCCCCGGCAGACACTCTGGAGTTATGATGGCCCCTTTCTCCCTCCTGGCCCTGCCTGGCGGCTCGCTCCCCTCCCCTGGCCGTCTGCATTGTCTTCCTAAGAATCTGGTGTTCGAAATTGGTGCCCTCCAGTTGGCTCTGCCTGGAGCTCCAACTCCTACCGAGTTAACAGGCAAACTTTCCCCTGCGAACCAATGCCAGGACCGCCCCCAGGCCCAGGGGCATCTCGGGGAGGCCAAGCCAGGGTGACAGAGAGAACCGCTGGGGTTGACAAGACCCCACAGGCTCAGCTGGCCCAGGGGGCCTGGGCTAAGGGTGTGTGTGTGTGTGTGTGTGTGTGTGTGGCAGAAGCTCACACCCCAGCCTAGCAGGAGGGCAGCAGGCCCCGGAGGCCTCCCCTTGGCCCATTTGGAGAGTCTGTGTCTGCAGCATCCTGCCTGCAGCCCAGCCTTCCTCTCCTTCCCACACAGGCCTGCTGGGGCCCAGCAGCTACTCCAAGTTCTCATCCAAGTAGCACTCAACAGTCTGGCCTTTCCAGGGGGAGGCAGGTCCCTAACTCCGGGCTAGAGCCCCCGGGCGCGAGCAGGCCAGGCTCCTTCCTACCTGAGGTGAACAGGACTATGGCCTTGAGGCAGCTGTACTCGGCGGAGTCCACGTGCAGGGCCTTGAGCTTCTCCACTTGCTCCTGGAAGATGCGTATGTGGTCCATAAAGGCGACCACCCGGTCGGCGGACATGGGCGAGGCGTGGAGGCCGGCGGCGGCCAGGAGCGGGGCGACGTGGAGGGGCATGGAGCACTGGGCCGCGTTGAGCACGAACAGCTCGCTCCAGGTGAGGCGAAGCAGGGCCACCTGGTCGGTGATCTGCAGGTCGGGGAAGAAGGGGATGTTCCGGGCCCACTCGACGGCGCTGAAGAGCATCCGGGCGGCCAGTTCGCAAATGTTCTCGATGCCCATGATGTTGTTGGGCTGCATGCACTGGCTGCCGAAGCGGGACGTGGGGTAGGGCTCGGCGCGCAGCAACAGCGAGATATATCCCGACAGGGTACAAGTGGCAGTTGAAGGGGGTCCCGGTTGGTCAGGAGCGAACTGCCCGTGGTCGGCTGGG